ACTTCCCACTGCTGAACCATGTCTAGGATGTAACTTCGTTGATGCATATGGAAGACATCACCGCACTTCCGCAGCTCATATCCAGCAAAGGAGACATCTTTGCCTTCTTCCACCACTTCTGGCTCCGAGGTCGTCCACAGACCTCTCAGAGTATTCATCATCACTTCTTGATGACTCTCGGGTGCCACTAGCATCAAGTCGTCGACGTACACCCCTATCAACGCAATCCGAACTTGGCGATCTTCATCAATGACTTCCCAGATATTGGAGTCTGCCGGTAGCTGCTTGCATGTGACACGAGTCCCATCACCCAGCTGCTCGATGGACCCCAAGGTTTTGTTCCGAAACAGCGTCCAACTCCTCGGCGCGACATCCAATCCATACAGGGCCCTCTTGATTTGCCAGTATGCTTCCTGGCATACGCCCGCAGCCCTCAAGATACTTGGAACCCTAACGATGATTGTCTCTTCATTGGGTGTAACAATCGGGGCGTTCAGGAAGGCTGTTTTGATATCCGTCGTTGAAATTGTCCACTGACTATGCCCTGCGAAGCGAACTAGCAGTCTGATGGACTCGGCCGAAATACCAGACGCATGAGTATCCAGCTTTGTCCTTGGGCAACCCTGCTGGAAATTTCCACACCCTACAATTCGAGTCTTCTTTCGGCCGCTTCGGGCCTTGACTGAGAAGATTACCTTCCCCGGGAGCACCTCTACCTTCTTGGATGAGTCACCCGTAATTGCCGCAAAGTCCTCGTGACTCAACGGGCTACATGTTCCCGTGGTGTGCACTAGCGATGTGTATTCTTCCACCATTGAAGGCTTCCATGCACACAAGTCCTTTCGAACTTCCTCGGCAGAGATAAGCCGAGTCTGGAGATACTCCTCCTCTACGGCAATGGGTTCGCCATTTCCAGGAGTGCCGTTATGCTCACCACCCGATTCCAGGCTTCTCAAGGCACACACTCTATGATTCTTTGTCCTCAACTGAAGCTTATCAATCCCCTCTACTACGGATGTACCGGTTTCCAACATCAGATTCCAGGCTGCATTGGTCATACGATGAGCTTGGGCCTCCAGTTCGCACAGCCTAGATAATAGGGGAGCAGTATCCTGGGACTCCTGTACTGCGCTTGCTCCTTCGACTTCGGTCTGTTCCAGGGCTTGACAGCAGAACCGATACTCTGCTGCAAGCAACAATGCTTCAGCCTCAACATCGACTCTCATTTTCCATGGAGTGGACTCTAGATGAAACCTGGTATCTGGAAGATTCGTGCCCACACACTGCTTCAGCTCTGCTACAGCCTCTGGTACTAAGTATCTGCAGCGTTCCCACTTATCAAGCTCACCGTCGTCTACCAACCAGTTCTGTAGCTGATCCCTATTACCCGACCAAGACGCTTCGCCACCAAGCTCATTGCGACTGCTTCCTAGCCATTGCTCTTGGGACTCCCCGATCGCCTGTAGGTGTGGCAAGTGATTCTGGACACCTGTCGCACCTGGCAGCTGTGGAACGCCTGTGACCTTTCTCACTAGTTGCGCACTATTTGGGACACCTGTGACCTTTTGCAACGACTGCACGCTACTTGGAACACCT